AAATATTTATTTGGTGACCTGTCAAAACTCACCAAAGACATCTCTGAAGCGAACAAGCTCACCAAGAAAGTTTGCCCCCTGCAACACAATACAGCACACAACCAAAATTCTGACTCAAATGGCCATTGCTACAATTATACAAACCAGGAAACTCAAGGCAATCACCGCTTCCACCCATATCAACGGACAAGAAATGATTTTTTGTGTAAAAGCCACCCTCCAAGGACAAGATTAAAGAAGGAGGGCAAACCAAAGCAGGCCTAACGCAACCAAGTCCCTCAGCCACAAAGGTATGCCAACCGTTAAGCTGTAACCCTGGAATTAATGAAGTACTTATGTTACTTTCTAGTCAGGGTTCATTCAAAGCAGGTCAAATAATGTGGTCTTTACCACATTGGCAAGAAATTACAAGTGATCCCACAATATTACAGTGTGTAAAAGAGGTAAAAATTTAGTTCAAACCATACCATTTCAAGCTAATGTGCAACCAAGTACAATTAATCAGTTGCAGCATGGCATTGTCACTGTGGAAATTGACAAATTAAGTCTAAAAGGTGTACTCTAAGTTTCCTCACCAGAACCTGGGGAATTCGTTTCCCCTATATTCCTTAGACCTAAACCAGATGAATCACACCGTATGATACTTAAGCTCAAGCCTTTCAACGAGTTTGTACAATATCACCATTTTAAAATGGACACCCTTGAATAGAATGATGAAGCCCGGGTGCTATATGGCATCAATTGACCTTAAAGATGCGTACCACTCTGTACCAGTTGCTAAAGAACACCAAAAATATCTGATACCAGTACACCTACTTGCCAAATGGTTTGTCTAGTGCCTCACGTATATTCACTAAACTGCTTAAACCAGTTTATGCTTCCCTGCATACCCTAGGCCATCTTAGCCTTGGGTATATAGATGGCTCCTACCTACAAGGGGACAGTGCTAAAGAATGCAGCAACTTTAAAGCCACAGCACTTTTGTCCAATCACCTAGGCTTTCACTTGCACCCCACAAAATCCGTCATTATAACAACTCAGACCCTCAAATTTTTAGGGTTTAGGCTTGACTCTCTTAGCATGACTGTTTCACCAACAAGGAAAATTATCAAAACTGTGGAAGCCTGCAAAGGTTACAAAAATGACCAAGCCTCAAATCTCAGAGGTTGCAGAAGTTATTGGCCTCTTAGTGTCTAACTTTCCTGATGTCCAATTTGGGCCTTTACACACCCCTTTCTGGAGAGGGACAAAACCCATGCCCTGATAACACATAAAGGGGATTACAAATCTCATATGATCTTAACATCCAGCTCAGTAGCAGAGCTGACATGGTGGATTGATGCCACATTAATCTCGTGACATTACCCATCCAACCCCTTTCATGATCATTCAGACTGATGCCTCAACCCTAGGCTGGGGGGCAGTGTATGTTGACCAAGAAGTCGGAGGGAGATGGACATCCTTGGAAAGTAGTAGCCATATCAACATCCTAGAACTGCAGGCAGCTTTCTTTGCCCTCAAATCATTCTGCAAAGGAACCATTAAGGGCCATGTCCAGCTCCAGATAGGACCAAGCAAAAGGAATTTTGATCATCCCAGTGTGGCCAGCTCAAACCTGGTTCTCACAGGCACTACAGCTGCTATGCAATCAGCCCTGGATTATGAAACCTTTGAAGAGCCTACTGCAACATGCCAGCCAACAAGCACACCCGCAGCACAACAAGCTACACCTAATGGTCTGTCTGATCTCAGGGAATCCTTTACACAATACAATGTTTCTTCAGACATTACCAAGATCCTCATGACCTCCTGGAGAGTGGACACACAAAACGATTCAAAACATACATTGCAAAATGGTTGGCATTTCGTCATCAAAGAGGCATTACTTACAGTTCACCAAAGATAAATGATTGCTTGGACTTCCTCATGACCCTTAACAATCAGGGCCTCAGTTACTCCACCATAAATACAGCACGATCTGCATATTTCGTCCATTATTACTGTTGACAGTGGGAAACCCTTTGGTTTGCACCCCTTGGTTGTACGCCTCTTTAAAGGCATTTATGAATTCAGAAAACCCCAGCCCAAATAAAAGCAACTACCAAGAAGAGATGAAAAGTTATCAGAGGCCTTACGAGAGAAAACATGTAAAAAGCAAGTTAAGATGTTTTAAAGCTAGATTACACATGAACTGATAGTTTCCCCAATAACCAAGGGAGGGAAGTATGACAATATTACAAGCAAAAGAGGTGATGTGAAACAAAGAGAAATCACCTAAAGACACAGCTCTGACTATAAAAGAGGTCAAACACTATTTTCCCTTTCAAAAGACACCATTTTGTACTAGCACCTATCAGCTCACAAACTATCTCAGCTTATGCCTAGACAGGGCAGATTAGTGCACAACTGGTTGTTCCACAAGAACCTAAACACTTGCATAAAATCAGGTCCAGCTTACCAAGAAGGAAAAGGAACGTTTTGCTTCTTGTGCAAGCCACACAAAATTTTCAACACAACACCCTGTGAACAGTTTATGAGATGATCCAGCAACACAAACATCCTATCGAGTCTGAAATACAGGGACAAGTCTCTACTATTTCATTTCAAAAAAGTGCAGAAAAAGAAACTTGAGATGATCTCATATTTAAGGCATACAGTGCAGCATACTGGCTTGTCAAAGAGAAAGTTTGAATTCCAAATTTCTTATCTTTGGCTAATCTGAAAACATTATTCAGATAACAATTTCCAGTACTCAGCACAGGGTTCCACTGGGGAACTATTTTTGGTACTAAGCAGCTCTCTTGACGACAACTTGTTGGGGAAGATACAGAGTGCTAATTACTTTAGTCTCACATGGTAACATATGTATCTTTCCTGTAAACAAAACAGAGAACACTGAAACACATTCCTTGTGGATTAAAAATGTTCTGAAAAACTACACATAGCTAATGTGAAAACCACTGCGACACTCATCACAACTCACAAAAACTAGCTCAGTCAAAAGGTGAAAGACTGTAGCTCTCTGGTTTCTGACAGTGCAACACTGATAACTGGTCCCTAGCGGCATAGCTAGTCATCTAAAGAAAATAATTCTACATGTGCTCTCACTGCACTGCTCGCACCACAAGCTTACACCAAAGTACAACAGCCGCTTTCATCAAAAATTGGCAATGGGTGGGCTTTGACGCAATATATAAAATTATAAATAAAATTATAAGAAATAACCACCAAAATTGAATCCAACTGTTCATCATTCCTTATTGATACCTTTGCAAAGATTCAAAAAGCTCTCAGGCGTTAAAACAATACAGCAGCCATACAGTAACACTATGACCACCGTTGTGACCATCAAAATTTCACAATAGCTAAAAGGGAAGAGATAAGAAGCAGAAGCCATTCAAAGTATGAACAGTTTGTTACTTTCACTTAAGTTTTGTCTTCTTAGATACTAAATTTATCTTAAATATATCTCTAAAGAAGCAACTGTGAAATTTCTTTAACAACAGTTACACAAAGTCAATTATTAAAAAGAAAATTCTGACAGTTTAAAATACTTTATGAGTTTAGTTGTATATATTCATCTAGAGAGGCTTGAGTTGCTGATTTTAACACTAAATAAACAACCAGTTACCAATTTAACATATCAGACTACAGAGCAATTACAGAAAGTTCCAATGTGTCACTAAACAGTTGACTAGCAAGTTTAAAATATAAATACCTCACATTTTCTTCAACATACATCATGAATGTATCCTAGCTGAAGTATCTGTGCAACTCTAATTGCACCATGACCCAATCTGTTATAGAGCAGTCTACAGACATGTTGCTGGGCAGATATAACTATTCACTATTCAGTTTGATCACTTTTGATCATTTACAAATTTTTTCTCAATAGAAAGAGAAAGCAAAACAGAAAGCTAACAAAGACAAGGTTTCTTAGAATAAGGAAGGCCATATGCACCATTACCACATGCTCAGCCTATTGGAAGAAATACATCATCCATGACCCATGCTCAACTTTTTTGACAGAGTTGTCAAAACGCAGATGAAAAATGAATTACAGCACTGCAAGTACATGTAATCATCAATTTCAACCTCTATGTACAACTAACTATATGGTAATGGTTTAGCTTTTGCCATCATTGGAAAATCTCTGCAAGCACTATTTCCCTAAGTGCTACCCTATTTTTGTTGCCAAACTTTGCCATCTTCTGAGCAATAATAACTTTTAAGCAACTAGCTTGTAAACTTGATTTAGCCAACTTTTTACCAAATTATAGCAGTTAAACTTAACTTTTATATTGCCAGACAAAACATGTAACAAAAGTAATACTAGAATAAGTAAAGGCTATTGTTTAGTTACGATATTATTGTAACCAGATTAAACATATTCTAGTGGCAATTCTCTGTAACCTTACAAGAAGTGACTAACCATTGTTCTGATGTTGTTGTTTAGGGTTTCAAATAGGTTCTCATGATTTAATTGCTCATTCATTTGTCAGATTTCTGAAGATGTCGCCAATTTTGATTAGGACTTCTACAATGGAGTAGTTACTGTCCTTGCAGATTGTGGGCTTCCCATGAAATTGACTGCAAGGTTGTGAGGATTGTTTCCTCAAGTTTTAATAACTTTTCTCAAAAGATAAATGAACAGATCAAGAAATCAACTTGTTAGAAAGAATACAGATACATATGGGTGATTCCACGTTGGAGACATTACGTTCAGATACTAAAAAATTAACATTTTAAACCCCAATTCAAATGTCAAAATGTTCAACAAGGGTGTTCAAACATATCTAGAAAATACCTTTAGTGTGCCCTTTGTACCTGATAAAAAGATGCTTTAGTGAGCTCTCAAGACCTTGTATGTTCTGTTACAGCACTCCCTCAGAAAAATTTAATGGTTTCCCTGGATAGCATGGCTGGTGATTTTGTGAAGCCAAGTGTCAGGGCAATGTTGAAAATGTGAGAAGTACTGGAGAAGGTGGATATAAATCTGGATGTTAGTCAATGGCAGTTTGCTGCAAATAAGCCAAATGATCTCCCACAGCAATCTAATAGTTTTGATTGTGGTTTTTTCATTTCCCTTTATACAAGGTGTCTTGTTGGTGAAGGCGTCATGCTTTCTGATAAGCAAAGCATCTCTGATTTCAGAAAGCATACGCTACTAGAGCTGCATAGCCAAAGTTTAATTTAGTTCTTTTTGCTTTGAAAAGGGCAGCTACTATGCTGTTGATTACGTCAACAACTACTTCATTGGTAGGGCACTCAGTGCACCTGACACAAGAAACTTTGCAGAGTTCAAGTTCCTCCACCGAATCAAAACAACAAATGTGAAGAGATTCAAATGGCCAAACCATGATGACATTGACTGTGTCCATTCCTCTTGCAAATTTTATGGCCCCCTCAACTTAAGAGGCCATGCCCCCTTTGAGATAGTGGACATTAAGTAACTGGAAGCAGTTTTTAAATTAGTTTCCAAGTAAACACTTAATGGCGCTCACTGATAGACTAATTTAAAGTAGCAAAAATATTTAATCACAATGCGATTAAGCAGTGAACATGTTTATGATTTTCATGAACTTTTTTCTAGCCAGCTGTTAGTCGCCGTTTTACTTAAAGGCTATTTTTTTGTGCATTTTTGGTCCCAAATTCTTATTGCTTGATGTGTTAAAAAATTGATGGCACATTAAATTTTTTTAACTACATAAATGAACCTGTTATAAACATTATCCCAAACGAGAGAACCATGATTTGATGTAATGTGTAATGAACTGGAAAAAATCCAGAGGACATAGTAGTTACAGTCAGTTAATTATTGTCGAATAATCTAATTTTTTTGCAACAATTGAAGTTTGCTGAACAGTTTTGTTTTTTAGGAAGAACTTTTGAATGTTTTTATTCTATGTATGGTATCTTGATTAAGTTGTTAGAGTGTTTTTAATAGTTTGTAAGTTAAATTCAACCTATTAGGAAATGTACCCAGACATCTAAGAACTATTTATTGCAGGTGACAGTGAAGTGACTAAAGACGACATCAATTGTTTTCCGAAGTTCCCACCAAATTTGGGACCAGAAGAAATCATCCTCATATAATATTTGCTAAAGTTCTCTCAGAGATACATCCCTCACTGAGGTAGAGTCCGTCTTGGTCTCTGCCACAAGTTCACCATGTCTACCTCAGATTGGGCTGGGTGTCATGAACATAGAGTTCAAAAATATCAAATTTATCTTCTCATCCACATGTTTATTTCCTGTAACATTACAAAGGTCCTTCCTAGGCCAAGGTGAACATTCTACTTCACTGAAGGCTATCTGAGAATCAGTGGAAAAGCATTTTCTAGCCTTGTTTAATTTCCATGAGTATTGCTGTAAGATGGATTCCAGCTTTTTGAGGTAAAATACAGTTTGTATTAATGCATTGTATATTTCACTGTAAATCTGTAACCACAATTAGTCATTTCCCTGACATTGCTGTTTAGGGTTTCAAACAAGTTGTAATGATTTTATTGCTCATTCACTTGTTAGGTTTCTGAAGATGTCACCAATCCTGATTATGAGAGTAGAAGAAGTAGTTAGTGTCCTTCCAGATGGTTGGCTTCCCATGAAATTGACAGTGAGCATTGCAAGGATTGTCTCCTTCAGGTTTATTTTCTTTTCAGAAAAGATTACCAAACAAATCAAGAAACCACATTCTTAAATTAATGAACAACAAGTTGGAGTCCTTCCTAGTCTTTGCCACTAGTTCAACACGTGTACCCTAGTTTTGGCTCGGTTTTGTCAAGATGAAGTCCAACAATACAGAACCCATCCTTCTCACCCACAATTTCCTTTTGTATAACATTACAAAGGTCCATCCCAGACCAAGGTAAATTTTCCTCTTTAATTACAGATTTAGGTGAGAAAATGGAATAGCCTTTTCTAGCCTTGTTTAGTTTCCACAGTAGGTATTGCTGTTTGGTGGATTCCAGCTTTTGCAGATAACAATGCAGTTTATTTTGTTTTAATGTTTATATTCTCATTTATTTATTTATTTTAACTTGTAATTAATGTAATATGCACTGTAATGTAATATACAATGTATGTACATCTTGTAATTTTATTTTCAGGGCTCATTTTAATTTGTATTTTATATTACTATATGTACTTTGTTATACTTACCCTATATCAGAAGGCTCCCATTCAATTCAAGCTTGCTGCTGAACCCTTTGTACTTTACATTGCTAGACATATTTTGTATATTTAAATTATTCTTTGCAGGCTCCCATTCAATCCACCTTGCCAGCTTGGATAAATGCTTCTAATAAATTAATAGATATAAAAATTTTCACTTTAAACCTGTAAACATTATCAACTCAAAATTGTATTTAAAGAATCAGATTTGTTAAAATGTTAACCTTTTGTTGGCTTTGTTTTTTGTCATTATTAATTATACTATACATATATATTTATAGATCCATTTCATAATGGAGACCCCAAGGAAGTTAGTTGGAACAACACTTTGAAGAGGTTAAACTGCTCTCCATGCAGGCCTTCAAGCACTGAAGCAAAGCAGAACCCTCAACAACAACAAAAAAAGATAAAAAAAGAGAAGTTTGGAATAATCGAGCAACTTTTTAAACAACCCTTTGCCTCCCATAGAATTCCCATAGAAGTTTTTAATGTAGTTAGGAAAGAATAATTTGACTTCACATTTGATCTGTGGTAGGCAGAGAATTTGACAGAAAAAAGAACTGTCATGCTTCTTTCTAATGTTTCACCACCTTTAACAGTTGCAACTGAGGACGATGCCATGTGGTTAACACATGAAAATTACAGTGGTACAGGTAAGAGTATGTCTGTTTACCAGAAATGTCGCTGATCAGACAAGTGTTTACCTCCACTTCCATAGCATGAGTTGAATAGGAATATTCTAGGACGAGAAGCCCCAATATTCATATTGATTTACACATCTAGGTAACTGCTATGTCTACAAACTGCAGGTTAACCATCCAACCTTCCAGATGACAATTATCAGAGACATTATTGTTTCTAACCAGAGTAACAAAAAAGTAACCTGAAACAAAATATTACAAACAATGTGTTTACACATCATTTGAATTTTCTTACTCTTGTATTTTTTTTTTTATATATGCCATAACCAATCAGATCCTGTGGCAGCCTAGTTATTTTTAAGAAATATCTCTGAGTATTTCTTTTTAGGAAAGCATTCAGTGCTAATTTATAATACTTGATGTAATGCAAAGCAATTTTGAATATATGCATAGTTTTAAAAGCTTTATAAATATTTCTTATTACAATTATAAAATATTCTTGATAAATTCAACTTTAATTTTTTAAAATGTTAATTCACTTTGATTCTAGCTATCTGCAGCCAGACACTTCTTTCAATGAAGCAGTTTCCAAAGCCCTCATTTTACATCCATTGTATTACGGTATGACTTAGAAATATAAAAACAAAAGATTAAGTTATCTAATTTAGATTAAAAGCGCATTTAAAAAGGTGTGTTTTCAGTTTAGATTTAAAAATATTCAAACTGGGCGAAGACTTGACTTCTAAAGGTAAGGAGTTCCATAAAAAGGGAGCAGCTACTGTAAAAGTTCTAAAACCATAAGACTTAAGGTTCCATTTGTTTTGTTTTAAAAGAAATGCAGAAGACAAACGAAGCTTTCTATTTGGTACATAACGTTGGATCATTTCATCAATGTAGACAGGGGCAAGGCCATTTAGAGATTTAAATGTCAAAAGAAGACCATTCAAACAGTTAGAAATGTTAAAGGGAAATGGCTAAGAGCAAGTTACTGCGCCAAAAGGAAATGGTTAGAAGGCACATTAACTTCAACAAAAATCTTTTGAAATAGCATGGAAGTGGTGAAAAACTGATTGAGCTTAATTGAAAAATTGAGGCCATACTCAAAAAACTTGAACAAGCCAGTGCAGAATATGACTCATTTCTGGAATTTAGAGGACTATAGAAACAATTGAAGCTAACTGAAAAGGCCATTGAGAGGGCAAATGTATGCCTTGAAAACATTGAAATCATGATCAACAAAAGAGTAAAGGAACTGTTTCAGAGCCCTGTTGTGATTATGCAACCTTGCTAAAATCTGAGTCAGCAAGCCGTAACAGTTCATTCTTGCACATTAGTGGAAATAAGAAATGCCCTTGTGTGACGGAGTTGAAAGTCAAAAAAAGGAAAGAGAGAAGCTCTTGGATGCAAGAAGAGGAGCCTATAAGAGAACTATGAAGATTAAAGATTAAGATTGGCAGCACAGCTTGAGATGTCAAATGAGGATGGAGGAAATCCAGAGATCCACTTGGGAAATTTGAGAATACTGAAGTTGAAACTACCTATAATGATATTAAATTTAAAGGATCAGAAAATGCAGGCATTTGCAATAATCCAGATGACCCTTTACCTCAGCTAAATTTTAAGCTGCCACCCCGATTACATTGTCCAACACAATACATTTCAACGTGAACCCTCAGTTGAGGATGAAATGACCACAGTTAACACAAAGCTCTAATTCTACACTCAGTTCAGAATGGTGAAATGACATGAAAGGCAAATATCTTCATAGATTAGAGATCTTCTCTGTCCTACATCACTACACAGTTAGCCAAGGAAAAGAAAAGAAGATTAAACCACAACAGATACAAGCAATAAGTCAGGGTGACACAAAGGCAAAAGACGTTCTCAAAAGCGAACGAGTATGCAGCAAGCATTTTGTCTTTGGAGGGCCATCTCCTTACTTGGAAAAGCACAATGTAGATTCAGTGCCAACTTTAGAGCTTGGAAAGAAAAGCTATGGCTGTGAGATAGACTATGAAGCGAGTGCAAAGAGGAAAGACTGATGAGAAGGTTTGCCTTTATACTGGTCTACCATCCTTGGAAGTGCTAATGGTTGTGTTTGACCATGTAGCTTCACATGTGAAAAGACAAACTCAGTCACTCGATAGGTTCCAAGAGTTTATTATTGTACTCATGAAATTTAGGCTTAATGTACCATTAAAGGATCTTGCCTACCATTTTCTTGTATTGATTTCAACCATTTCAAGAATATTTTTCCATTTGATTTTGGTAATGGACAAGAGATTGTTTCCCTTTGTTTACTGGCCAGACAGGCATCAACTTTGGAAGACCATGCCCCAGTGTTTCCAGTATGCCTTTGGCAGGAAAACAACTGTTGTCATTGACAGTTTTGAGGTGTTCATTGAAAGGCCACCAAACTTCCTTGCCAGAGCAAACTTTTTCTGGTTAAAAACACCACAACACCAAGATTCTTGTTGGAATAACCCCACAAGGAACAATTTCTTTTGTTTTGGAAGCCTAGGGAGGTCGTGTCTCTGACAAATTTGTAACTGAGAACTGTGGTTTCCTGGAAAAGCTTCTTCCAGGAGATATGGTGATGCTCAGACAGAAATTTACAATTCTGGAGGGTACACTGCCAA